CTGTACAATGACTTCTCTAAGAAAAAAAACTTTTAAAAAATTTATTATTTTTATTTTATGTGTATGAGTGTATATTGTCTGCATATATGTAAGTACACCCTTGTCATGAAATGCCTGTGGAGGTCAGAAGAGGGTGTTGAATTCCCCTGGAACTGGAGTTAAGGATGGTTGTTAGCCACCATGTGGGTGATGGGAATCTAACCCAGGTCCTCTACAAGAGGACCCCTTAACCACTGAGCCATTTGCAGTGGTTTGAATGTAAATGTCCCCCATAGGCTCCAAGTGTTTGGACATTTTGTCCCCAGATGATGGTGCTGCTTTGGGAGGTTTTAGAAGGTATGGATATCCTGGAGGAAGCATGTTGCTGGGGGTGAGCTTAGAGAGTTCTTAAGCCTTGCCAGATCTCCAGTTGCCCTCTTTCTTCCTGTGTCTGCGTGATGATGTGCTATCTTAGCTTCTGCTGCTCCTGCTCCAGCCACCTCCAGCCACCATGCCTCCTTGCCATGACAGGCTGTACTTCCCCTGGAACCATAAGCTCAAATTCTTTCCTTCTATAAACTGCTTGGATCAGTGTTTCTATCACAGCAACAGAAAAGTGACTAATAAATACACCATCCTTCCAGCCCCAGAAAACTTATTTTGAAAAGGGAAAATTATCTATCCCCCAAATGAAAAAGCATGTAGTAATCCATACAATACTGATTTTCCTGCTTTGTGTCAAAATTAAGAGTTAGAAAAGTTAGAATTGACAACAAATGCTGGGCATGGTGGCACAAGCCTTTAGTACCAGCCCTCCCGAGACAGCAGGAAGGCTGGTGCTAGGGAGAAACTTTTTTTTTTTTAATTGACAGATACCTATGGTCCTTCGTGTTAGTGATCCAGAAGCTGAACAATGGGGAGCAGAGGAAAGACAGCATGCTTCTAAGAGCCCATACCTGCACTAACCAGCTTCACAGACTTTCAAGAAATAGTCATGTTACACAATCCATGAGCTCTTTTGAAGCCTTCTTCTTTCTCCTTTTAAGCCTATAGACCCTGGAGATATCAGTTTTTAAACATACTATTTCAGGGCTTGGCTAGGGTTATTGTTCCTTCAGTCTTATGCCCTCAACTTTGGTTTCTCTGGCTTCAGTCATACCTAAAAGCTATACAGCATCTCTTCCTCTACTTTCCATATCTCTTTCAAACATACTTAGTCTTTAAATTCAGACACTTACATGTTCAATCTAAACTGAAGAATAGCGGCCTTCCATTTAGCTACTTTCTGTTAGTCTGTGAATAAGATGCCTACTGTATGTGAAACAGACATTTACATATTACTAAAAAACAAAGGCAGGTTTAAAATCAACAAATCTAATAATTACTTTGCATTTTTCCCTCTTTACCCTTTGAGTCTCCCATTAAAAATAATTTCAGTACTGGGGATATAGTTAGTATAGCAAAATTATTTTGATCCCTAGTACTCCTGAAAAAAATATAAACTTTTCCTCTACAAAATAAAATTTTAAGGCTAATGTAAGAAGTTGAAGACGGAAGTTCACATAGTAACTAAAAAAAGAAATAGAAATAATTCATGAGAAATTTCAAAAAAAAGTAAGTTTACAATTACAAATATTTAGGTCATATATGAATCAGTATTTTACTATTCTAGTTCTATCTTTTATAATTAATGGTCACTAGTAAAAACTATTAATTCCTCTATACTTGAGACTACAATGGTATCAAAATACAATGAAATCTCTGTTTTATACTCAGTACTCTAAAGGCCCACTATTTGCTTCTTAAATATTATGACATATGTTAAATTTCTATAACAATTCTTCAGATTTTACATGTCTTTCAAGAAAACAGATTACTTAAAATTTCCCGAATATTACAACTTATTTATTTGCACCCAGCTTTATTAGGCTGTTCTTGGTGCCTAGAAAGTACCCCATCTCTTTCACTAAAATATCTCTATTTCTCAAAATTCTGATCAGTTGCTAGCCATCTCCATGAAGAATTCTCTAACCTGCCCTCAAAATAAGCATGTTCTCTTCTGTAATATTTCCACACTTTACATTTACTTCTGTTACTTAATGGACTCATCAAATTCATCTATCACTATACCTAGCTTCCTACTGTCCTGATTTCAAAATGCTAAACATCTCTTCTTTCTGATCCAAATAAATATCAAGAATTTGGCACACCTATAACAGATAAACTTATCAGTCAGTTGTGATGGTGCATGCCTGTAATCTCAGCACCTGGAGGGCTGAAGCAGGAGGATCATGGGTTCAAGGCCAGCCTGGGCTAAACAGTAGGATACTGTCTCAATAAAACTAAAACAAATTAAATAACTTTTATCAAACTTAATGGTTGGGGCCTGATTGTATTCTCCAAGTACACAGTGCTACCACCTATGTACTCACTGAAGTATGTGCTTTTGAACTAGAAAAATGAACACACAAAGCACACCACAGATTATCCTCTACTCCAATAATATCAATGTAAATTAACAATGATTACTACCATTTCAAACTTGTACCATTACAACTAACCAATCCCAAATAATTTTTTCTAGAAGTTATATGTGTATGGGAAGCATATTTTGTCTCAAAGTGTTGATTTAAAAAATAAAGGTGCTGAGGTAAACTGTTTCTAAAAAGGAATAGGTTAAGCTGCAACCAGCAGGATTTATAAATGGTTTATCTTCTTGGTCTTTATCAAGGACCATGACCATTATGAACTCCTTCTTCTAGGTTATGACCTCACTAGACTCAGGAAGGCTCTCAATCCAGGGGAAGTCAATTACATAATCTTCAATTAAAAACAATTAATAAAATGAATGATAATCACCATCTATTAATGCAGTTAGCATGATCAAAACAGAAAATGTATAAAGGTAAATACCACTAATTAATGTAGCTTTTTGTTTTGAGACAGGATCTCACTATGTAGCCTAGACTGGGATAAAACTCTCCATCTTCCTGTCTCAGCCTCTTGAGTCGGTGTGATTACAGGGGTATATAACCATCCAGGCAGAATGGCCTTTGTGAAATGTAACATTGAAAATAATAAACTGATGACTTAGCATATGCAAGTTTGATGCCAAGCAACACAAAAAATAGTTACAATTGAGCAAAAAATGAAATGTCATGAAGTGTCACTAATTTAACACCTGGTGAAATAAAAATATTATTTCTCAGTTCTATGCTCGGTTACTATCTGGGAGTCCACTGGGCCACCCTGGCCAACAACTCAAAAGAAGGTATCTCCTATCTGGCATTGTTGCTTATTAAGTAGCCTTTAGCTATACATATGGACTCTTAAAAAATTACATTGGCCCCTTTAATCTTTGGTTATACTTTCCTTTTGATGTTCTGTGTGATACACACACACTCTCAAAAATCGAATTTTAAAAAATGAATTATATTTGAGGAGGAAGCATAAAAAGTTATGTCACGTTAATTAGTAGAGGTGATAAACATTATCACTGAAATCTACCCGATGACTTTATAGACATACACAGGTGCCAAGGATCCAAGTGCAACCAATTATGACTAGCAATAATCAGATACATACAGATCATGCACCAACAACTCAGTGTTATTAGCAAAAACGAATCTTTCTGTAAGAAACAGTATATTTTAAAATGAAAAGGAGATCTTTTTTTTTTTTTTTTTTTTTTTTTTTTTTGAGAGGATGGTACTCATAAAATCAAGATCACTCTGTCACAGGAAATGTATTTATAGGAACTGTTTTAAGACGTTTATTAAAAACTCATTCAATTTTATCTCTTACAGGACTTATACTGAGTTCAATATTGTATAACTGTATAAATTCAACTGTGAACCTAAAACTTTTATAGCCACTTTTGAAAGAGATGTATCTTTGCTCTGGAAACTCTTAATGAGTATGTTAAAGCTGTAATGAAATGCTTCTAAAAAATATATATTATTTCATGATCTGTTTCTCCATTCCTTTCACTTTAACTTCTTAAAACTCAGGATTCACAACTAGAAAGGCCAAGCACATTGTAAAACTTTGCTCATTGGGGGCTGGAGAGATGGCTCAGTGGTTACAAGCACCGGCTGCTCTTGCAGATGAGCCAGGTTCGATTCCCAGCACGCACATAGGGGCTAGGAACTGTTTCTAATTCCAGTTCCAAGGGATCTGATACCCTCTTCTGACCTCCACAGGCATTGCAGGACATGGGTGCATTTATATGCATGCAGGCAAAACATTCAAACACAAAAATATAAAAATAATAAACAAAATATGAAAAAAACTTTGTTCACAACATGCTTACTGCAAATGATGTAAACTTAAAGGTATATCCAAAACTTCATTTTTCCCCTCGTGGCTAAATGCAGCCTCCAATCTCTAAAAGGCAGCTCTAAAGTTCTGTGGGTTGAAAAATCCTCAGGGGGGAAAAAATTTCCAAATGAACATGTACTAAGAGTCTCTCATTAATAGAGGCCATGGGTTTACACTTGATATATCCCTCTGACAGACTTCTAGGTTCTTGCTCTTTGTAGTGTTTGTTGAAAGCCACTAGAATAGCATCACACAGAAAAGTTTATTTTGACCTTCTATGATAATCTCATTACATAGGGTTTGATCACTTACCAATTTTAGTGGTATAAACCAGTGTAGAAAAATCCTTAGATGTCTAGAGATTTTTAGTATAGAATTCTAATATTCAATAAAATTCCTCAAATATTTTTATAGATACACCTTACTAAATTGATTGTGGTTATAATCGTGTGCACATTTGTACTTCTACAAAAAACATTCCTTATCGACTGAAAAACATGGCAAAAGAAAGGAGGGTGAGAAGGAGGATAGGGCGGATGAAATAAAACTTCAGTCCTAGCTATTCAATAGTTACTCAACACCCTAAGGTTAGAGATCCCACAAAAATATGACTTACATTAACAGCAATTATTTAAAAGAAAATTCTCGTTATCAACAGCTGTGGGGAGGAGAATGATCTTTAAAAAAGTAATCCACTATACCTCATTCATGAATGAAAGCCAAATTCACGCACGAGCTGTTAACCGATGCTCCAAAACTTAGTCGCGAAGTACACAGGAGAACTAGGAAAGCGAGACCTGGAAGCGGCTGAGGGGCCAGAACAGAACACAGGCCATCAGGCCGTAGCTCCAGAAATTTCCGAGCGCCCGGCGGTTGCGGAGGGCCGGTGGCACCTGTCACTCCGCGGCCCGGGGGTACCGGAGCGCCGTTGCCGCCCAGCACCGAGGCCCGGGGGTCGGCAGGTCGCCACGTCGCCCCGCACCCCGCCGTCTGCCGCACC